TAGACTTTCCGGAAGTCTTGATCGCTTAGTTTATTAGGAGTTTGTATCTTCTATGAGGCGGAGCTCTTAAGGCTTATGTAGGTGTTCTAGGCTAACTTTTTTCCTTCCAGTGCTTTTCGGTCCCCGTGTTTTCACCACGGCTTGTTGCTCCGCAGGTTTCCTACCCCTAGTCGGACGTGCTTCTCTGTTAGGAGATTTATGTTTCTAAACATCGATCCTCCACAGTGCCGAAGCTGCACTAGTTCTTTTCTTTACACTATCAAGTAGTTCTCTCCCCCTGACTGCGTGGAAACGTCGGGCTCTTAGATTTTGCCTTGGAGATGCCAATAGTCTAAAGAGAAAGTGTACCGCCCAATGGTCACTTTTCCTCCAAATGGCAATACGGTGAGCTCTGCCGGATTTATGGAAAAGATCAGATTCAGAGTAGAAGGCTGTTATCCCGGCCTAACTGTTGTAGGTGTGACCAGCAGTGAAATCCAGCCAGCTTATATTTGTGGCACTAAAGTAACCGAGAATTAGTAGTCGGCATCCTGTCCGAGAAACGCTTTTTAGCGCTTAAGGTAGTTGTGAGTCTTCTGCGGTGGATGCGCTTGTGGTGCAGTAAATCCCTACCGTTAGAGCTGGAGGGTTGTGATGGAGTATACATGCTCTTGTCTGGATACGCAGCGTGTTTTCCATGAATTGGTTTGAAGACTGGAGGATTTCCTTGCTGACGTGCATGAGACATCCCCACCGGGGCTCCACCTCTGTCCACTCTCTGCGGTTAGAATCCATTGCTCTAATCTCTAATTGGAATACAATCCTGAAGACAAGTTTCGTTGAGGACACATAGGTCGATGTCTTGGAGTAGTTCAACGATCTCGTCTCTCTTGTTGAGGCGACTGCGAACGTTGACTAGTGCACCTCGGATTCGCAGTGGCCCTTGGTGTCTGTTCGATGGCGAGTTTCTGGCTTCCTCGGAATGATCTTGTGGTGGTTGTAGTAGTAGCTATACGCACTGAACTCGGAATACGAACCACGCAATACGAATCACGGAACACGAATCAGTGGATCACGTAAGCACTGGGTCGCACTGGCAATAGCACGCCATGTTCCATGTAACCGAGACTCGAGGAAAAGCCACAGAAGTAGTTGTTCGTTCATTGAAGGAAATGAAGGAGATTAAATAGTATGTATAAAGAAGCTCATTGGTTATCCGCGTTCCGGTATTCCTAACATCGTTCCACTTCTGTTTGGACCACAGGGTCTCTGATTGGCTGATACAATCTGCCTATGGTATGCAGTCAGAAGTGGTGACACGTACGCGAGTTGTTGACGTCACCCATGAAGTTTGATCGATCGCAGTTGTCAAAAAACTATAAAGCGTCGCCCCAGGTTACGCGTCATCTTGTAGGCCCGCATCACCACAGGTCTTCCTAGGAGTCCCCTAGTATTCCGGACGGTTTTAGTTGA